TTTCTGAATTCCAAAAATTAAGTATTTTTTTAATATAAGTAAAGAGTAAAAATTAAGTTCAAGTGGGTTTGGAGCTAAAACTTGTCATAAGCAATGAATGGATTAGAACTCATCTTTATGAATTCCAATGGATGGATATTTTGTAATATAAGTAAAGAATAAAAATTAGGTTCAAGTAGGCGTATGAGCTAAGACGGGTCATAAGCAATGAATGGATTAGAACTCATCTTTCTTAATTTCAATGGATGGATATTTTGTGTTACTCTTAGTAACAATTAAATTTTAAATAAATGAGTTAAAATTCGTGTTTCTGAGTTACGTTCCAAAAAGTTGTTGATCCATTCAATTCTAAATAAATAATTTTTGAAGCGATAGCTAAATTAAGAGATTAGTCTCAATATGAATATGTCGTCAGATCCAGTTTTCTACGTATTATATGGATGTCTCATCTTCTTTCACTATAGAATTTAAATTTTTTGATAAAACTTTTTAATATTTCTTTGTTATACAAATACATGTATAGGTATATAATATAGTTCATCTTATATGATTTATAATATTAACTACCAATTTTTTTGATTAATTTAAAATAATACTCGTTGAACTTTATTTTTAAAAAAATTACTTCAAACTTTGTTTTGTAATAAATTGAAGAAGAAGCAGGTGTTTGAATTCCGTTGAGTGTATATGTCGATATAACAAATCTACATATATACATATGTATTTTGATATACATATCTATTCACATATATTTAATTTTTTTATTAAATTTTTGTTAATAAAAGTTATATTATATCTAATTTAAATTTTTAAGATGTTTTAAAAATCTGTATTAAAAAAATTTCATTTGTAAAGCAATGGAAAATTTTTTAGAAATTCCTATTGTTTGCCACATTGTTTAATTTTTTGTTTTATATTCTAGATCAGCGTCTCTTAAACAATGGTCTCTAAAATATTATACGGTTGAACTCTTTTATAACGACCAACCGAATATAACGACCAACCGAATATAACGACAGTTTCTTAAAGTCAAATTTGGTTTGCTATATATAACTGGTTTGCTATACGTAATGTTTTCTTATTATAAAGCAATAAAATAGATGTACAAATAACAAAGGAAATAAAAAAGAAGTAAAAAAAATATATATAAATGATTTATAAGATATAGATACTTCTATAAAAATTACTATCATTTTTATTCCTTTTTTTATATGATCGCTTTTAACGACCAGATTAAGTCGTCCCATTCAGTGTAGTTATAATTGATTTCAAAGACATATTAAATCAAATTAATGTGAATTAACTGTTCACACAGCATCACTAATAATAATTTTGCATATAATCAAGTTCAAATTTTAATCCAATTTCATAAAATCTAATAATTAATAAAAATCAATCTAACTAATTAATGAATAATAATTATTTCAAAATTTACAATGATGCGTGATATTGTAAAAAAAATCAACTCAACTCAATAATAAACTTAACCGAAAGAAAATATCACTTCAACGTTCGGTATTTTTATATCCGACCGCAATTTAAATAGTTAACTATATGACTAACGGATCAAAAGCACAAAAGATCAACCATGGTCGCAGCACTCCGCTCCATTGAGAGCTGATACCCTGCTTATTTCTATAACTAAGAGAATCAACTATGAGAATAAACATAAGATAAAATTAAGATTTGCTGTGTGAATAGGTTTTTTACCGAAAATTACAATTATTATGTGAATAAGCTATAGTATTTATTATTTTAATTTGTTTTTAACTCTCTTCTCGCCTTTGCTTAATGTAACTTGAGTTAGTTTCAAAAGTATTTTTCCTCAATAGTGTTGTGTAACCACTTGGATGTTTTTAAATAAACTCTTAATTAAATAACAGCCTACAAAATTTGTGAGTTGGGATACACTGGTCTAGGCGATTTGTTTGTTTTCAATTTCACCAGTAAAAAATTGCAAATAACAACTGCAAATTAAAAAGAAGTGAGATTTAAGTGAAAAAATCCATATTTTTATTTTGTATGTATTGTACCAAAAAAGATAGAAAAGAAGATTTCACCAAGATTTCGCCTTTTACATATTGGTATAGTCAATTATATTCTTTAATTCTTGGTATTGCACCGTACGTACAGCATTTCGTTTTTTATGTTTGATAAAAATTTGGACTACATACATACATTGAATTTCGCTGCTTTTACATCGTTATATGTTTTTGTTTTTTATTTTATTTTATTTCAAAAAAATACTAATAAATTGAAACCTTACTTACTGTCAGCTTTTTTGATAAATTTTGTCTTCGTTATAAAAGCCTATTAAACTTATTAAAGACTGTTCCTCTATATTCTTTATATCCAGTATTATACAAGATGTATGATATTTGATATGAATATAGCAAATCAAGTGTTAAAGCTCGCCGATTGGATTAGTATTATAATAAGAAAAGTATGTCATTCTTGTTTTCGGATTATTCTAGACTAGACTGAAAACTTTAATTTTAAGTTCCCAGAATGAAGAACGTTTTGATGGGACGTAAAGCAGCCTTAAAGTCAAGTCTAGTTCCTTGGACAATAAAATGTAATTCAATCTTAATCTTAATCTCTTCAATCTCGGAAAGTTGAATAACTGGTTTTTTTTAGTGTAGAAGCTCATCATATCAAAGTTGTTTTTAAATATTTAATTTCCTCAAAAGTGAGATCGATAGGGAGCAACCCTATCAAAGTTCCTTTCAATTATTCAATCTTCTTAAACAGGAAATTCGTAGTGGTCTTCGAAAACATATCTGCCCTACAAGCAATCCTTAACTCCTATTATATGAATACGGTCAGCCTTAGGTGAAAAATTGTGCTATCGATCCACTCCAAGAAGCATTCTCAGCTTTATTCTGTAAATAAAGGTACCATATATAGTATGTAAAGGTAGAGGTAAATCCTGGTATGAAGCGGCGACGTACTCGCGAAACGAACTTCTAACAATATTTGATATATGTATATTCATTAATTCACAATTTGATATATATTAATTAATAGTAGGTAATCCAGCTTCTAGTAGGAAAACCAGCTTCTAGTAGGTAAGCTAGCTTCTAGTAAAGAAGCTAGCATCTAATAGAGAAGCTAGCATCTAATAGAGAAGCTAGCTTCTAATAGAGAAGCTAGCTTCTAGTAGGTAAGTCAGCTTCTAATAGGTATACCAGTTTCTATTAGGGAAGCCAGTTTCTAGAAGGTTAGCCAGCTTCTAGTAGGTAA